CCCCCCCACCACACACACACTGACACAAACGGACAGAAGCAGCCAAAACACAAACTTCTTGGAAGAGGTATTTATATGACTCCTCAGAAACACGGCCAACTAATATGTTGAAATATACGGTATAATCTACAAAATCTATGACTGAAGTTATGTTTTTTATACATCATCACGACCACTTTGATTTGGCCCTCTACGGAGGTCAACGGAACTGCAGCCGGCTCACCCTGGAACGCAGTTGCGTAATGCCGCGCATCTATAATACACAAGCAGGAAAATCTTCACAATCCAAATCATACGGTGTACAAGTCGATACCTTTGTATACCACACAGTGCAGTATACTCCTGGCTACCTCTTACAAAAGTCGCTCTATATAACCAGGATTCAAGAGGTCACGGTCTGCACTACTTTCTATACACGCGTCATAGACCTGGGGGTCGCCCATAAATACTGGTTTCTGCGACCTTAAGTTGATTTCAGAAACAAACCATTATTATTTACTATCATGAAATATTCAACAAGCTAGGAGCAGACAATCAACACAAGCTTGTTTGTCAGGCATCAGTACAGAAGAGATACCCGGGCCTCACATCTGAGGGGGACAACGGCAAAAGATAGAAGATAGCCCAGAAGGTGTCAACTGAAGATATTCTCACTGGCTTAAAAGGTAAGTTTTGGATACAACTTATGGAAAAATTGTATTTTCTGTAAATAAATGGAAGTAAGTAAATAATTATGGGAGCTGAGAGGCTAGAATAGCAGATAAACAACTATAAAAGCCATAATGATTGTTTTCTGATAGAGACGGACGACAAAAGGCAAAAATACATTTTTTTTCTCTCTGACACATTACGAGCTGGCAGAATATTTATTTGAAATGTTTGTATAATTGGCTGCTATGACCTAAAAGCAAACATTTCTTGCTTGAAATTGTTGTCCCTCCCTAGTATGTGTATAGCTCACACCATCAATGTAGATTCTGGTAACCATTGCCCACGGGGCGGCTTAAGGGTGTTATCGGCATCTTTGTAAATTGCCTATCACGGGGATTTTTCTTACAGCATGTATTTCAGCTCTTTTCGAGAGAAACGCAATATTAACATTTATCTCTGCGTGATCTCAATGTGAAATGCGGAAAGAAAAAAATCAATTCAAGAATAGCCGGTCATTCATGCCTTTTCTGCTCATTTATTTCCAAAACCTGAAAATGTTAAAATTACGTTAACATGACACGCCAGCCGTAGGTACTAAATCAGAGTAAACAGCCTGCTAAACGTTAATATTCAAACAGCCTGAATCAGACAATTAACCAACCATATAAGACATAAAGTGCATTATGACTTTTTAACGTTTTTTTTATGCTCATGGCAGATAATGTGGGGTTTTAACCATACATAGCTTTTGTGACTAAATGATACTTTTTAGAAATATTGAAGAAAAACTGTTATGTGAGAAAATGTAAGAGCTCAGTGCTTTTAACCTTAGAATTCTGTACCATCTCAAATGAAAAATAAATAAACATTTATACTCATTTCTGCAATATTGCAAGCTGGTAGAATGCTCATTTGGTCATAATCATTCTAAACTGTAATGCCTAATGCAAATGGAATTTTTAGTTATTTTACTGCCTCTTTTTGTATGAAATCTAATATTTCGCACCGAACAACCTAAATCTTGCATTAAAAGACAATAAAAAAATTTGCATACAACGTATGAATTTTTTTTTTTACTTTGAAGGTCTCACTGATACAAATAGCAACATTAAGCACGTATCGAAGGGGATAAAACTTACTATTTGATCTTTGATTGCCTTGTATTTAGTAATACATAAGTATGGGTATTTTTTCTGCTAAACATCCAAGAAAAGAATGGGTAAAGGGCCTGCAAAAAATGATTGTCTTTTCTTGATTCCTGCTATTTTGTACTCTGCATATTGCAGGACGACATGGCAAGAAAACTGCGACACATGCTGATATTTCTTCTCATCATCCTGAAGGAGCCCGACATGCCAGGAGGTAGCGGCATCTGTCCACCATCATCGCTCGGCAAATGTCCCAATCTTGGCCTCACCAGCATCCCTCAGAACCTCCCTCCATCCATCCACACTTTAGATTTACAAAATAACCTCATAGCTAGTATTCAGAGTGGTGTTTTCTTAAATCTAACAAAGCTCAGGCTTTTGTTCTTGAACCACAACAAGATAACCAGCATTCAGGCAAATACATTCTCATATGCAACTAAGCTACAAGCTTTGTCTCTTTACCGGAACAGGATAAACAGCATTCAGGTTGGTGCATTTTCAAATCTATGCGAACTCTACCATTTGAATCTTAACTTCAACAAGATATCCAGCATTCAATTTGGCACAATCTCAGATCTACCCAACCTTAAATGGTTGAACCTGAAAGGCAACCACATATCCAGCATTCAGGTTGATACATTCTTAAATCTCCCTGAGCTTTCTAGTTTGGAACTTGGCAGCAACCAAATAACCAGCATTCCCTTGGGCACTTTCGCAAATCTAATCCAGCTTTACGAAATAGATCTTTCTTCCAACCAGATATCTACCATTCAGGCTGGATTATTCCAAAATCTACCAAGGCTCAAAAGGTTGTTCTTGAACTCCAACAAAATAACCAGCATTCAGGTTGGTTCATTTTCAAATTTACCTTGCATGGAAATTTTGTTGCTAAATAGAAATAAGCTAAGTAATCTCCTGCTTGGAACGTTTGCAAATCTTAATCAATCCCGGCTCCAATATATTCGACTGGATTCAAATCCCTGGCAGTGTGACTGCAAGATGGCTCCCTTTTGGCAGGAACCTTATAAAAATCGTGCAATTCTAACACAGATAACATGTATCGAACCTCCCAACCTGAAAGGGCAAAAACTTAAAGACGTTAGTCCCCATCTAATCTGTAATAACCCAATCAAATCAACACCTCCTGTTGATGCCCAAAATGTATTCAGCTCATCTGCAGTACCAACATCATCATTTGGCAATACAGAAAACAGTGTTAGCCCAACGGCACATCTTGTAAGCTCCAAGTTTGTCACTATGCCTGCAAATATCCAATTGCAAAGTGCTAGCAACTGCTGCAATCGTATCATCACCTGGTACTTCAAAGGCAATGTTGACTTCACAAATGACACTGCTGTATCAATAGAGTTTAACGGCAATGTTGACTCAATAGATAACTCAAAAGTTAAATGGAACGGGTTAACTACTTCATCTCTTGATGTCTCTGGTACTTCTGGTCCCAGTCTCTCCCAAGTACATGTTGTCATTTTATCTGTTGTTGGTTCGATGGCATCTCTAATCTTTGCTCTTATTTTTGCATTCTGGTGCAAATGGAGGGTGAGGAATTCTAATCCAGCTTCTAAATCCAAACATGCCTTGCGTAGCACAAGCAACACACCTGCTGTAAGAACTAGTGGTTGTAATCAGTATGGGGATATAGACCAGCATGATCAGACAGGACAGGGCCAGTCTTGGGCCATCTCTGAACCCAACACCGAAGCCACGTCTGTTGTAGTAACTACTGGTGATAATATAAACCGGTATGAAAATGTAAACCAAGATAATCAGACAGGGCAGGGTCAGTCTCAGACTATCTCTGAATCCAACACAAACAACACATCTGATGTAATAGTCAGTGGGCATGTTCAGACAGGGTATCAGGCTATCACTGAACCCTTGCACACTAAAAGCACACTATATAACACTGGGCCGACTGTCTCAACCGCACTCACTGATTCATTGGCCACTAAAACTCTATTGTATAGCACAAGACCGAATGCCTCATGCTCAAATCTGTATTCCCATTCTAAAGTTAAAGGTCAGTATCAGGAGGAGCTTATCAAATCCAACACCACCACTGCTGTAATGACCAGTGGCGGACATGATCAGACAGGACAGGGTTCTTCTCGGGCTTTTACTGAATCCAATTCACATGCAACACTAACAGATCATGCATGTGGTCCTGATCGAAAAGACGGGGGTCAGTCTCTGTCTATCACTAAATCTAACACAAAAACAGCTGCTGCAGTAACTTTTGGTGCTGAAAACCGTTATGAAGATATGAACCAACATAACCGTACAGGGCAGGGCCGGCAGTCTCAGTCCATCACTAAATCTAACACAAAAACAGCTGCTGTAGTAACTACTGGAGCTAATAGCAGTTATGAAGATATGAACCAACATAATCAGGCAAGGCAAGGCCAGTCTCAGTCCATCACTAAATCTGACACAAAAACAGCTGCTGCAGTAACTATTGGTGCTGATAACCGTTATGAAGATATGAACCAACATAATCATACAGCACAGGGCCAGTCTCAGTCCATCACTAAATCTAACACAAAAACAGCTGCTGCAGTAACTTTTGGTGCTGATAACCGTTATGAAGATATGAACCAACATAATCTTACAGCACAGGGTCAGTCTCAGTCCATCACTAAATCTAACACAAAAACAGCTGCTGCAGCTAATAACCGTTATGAAGATATGAACCAACATAACCGTACAGGGCAGGGTCAGTCTCAGGCCATCAATAAATCCAACACAAAAGCAGCTGCTGTAGTAACTAGTGGCCCTGAAAACCGTTATGAAGATAATATGGACCAACATAATCGTACAGGGCAGGGCCAGTCTCAGACCATCGCTAAATCTAACACAAAAACAGTTGCAGTAACTATTGGTGCTGATAACCGTTATGAAGATATGAACCAACATAATTAGACAAGGCAGGGTCAGTCTCAGACTACTAAATCCAACACAAAAACACCAGCTGTTCTAATAACAAGTGCTCCTGAAAAAGAGTATGAAGATATGAACCAACATAATCAGCCAGTGCAGGCCAGTCTCAGTCCCAGTTTATCACAGAATCCTCGAATGACGGAAATCCATCTCGTAATGCTTTGCTAGCTGCTCTACTGCCTAATTCTATGTAATATGCAGGTGTGAAAACACCACCAAAAGGCCCAACATCTGCAGAAATAACCTTAACCAGTGGTCATGGTCAGACAGGTCAAGGCCAGTCTCAGTCGATCACTGAATCCTTGAATGTTAGAAAACCTTCAAATACCACTGTACTGGGCTAGCTGGCATCCAGTTTTAGCTATATATGAATATATGGGTCTTCTTTTGGGGCCATCCAACAGAAACAATTGGCGTAATGATATAATTCTTGATCCCTACGTGCTCCTTATCCATAAGGCATAGACAAGCAATTTCTACAATTCGAAGGCAAAGTGATTTTATTCGTTTGCATAACAAACAGTTCGTCAACATTTAACCCCTTCTGTAGTGTCCTGTGAATCCTAATAGCAATGAAATGGCACCAGTATTACACACCACATGTTGTGAGAAAGATTTTAGATTTTTGCATTTTTATATAGCCTGATCATACAAGCAAATCGGTAATGTTATAACAAATGTGATCAAGTAAATGTTTGTCAGCTTTTTGTATTCTGTGTTTTGTAAGGTCTGTTGCATTAAACAGAATAGAAATTATCGTCGATGCAGTACTACATGAAATGTTGTGACTCCCCAAATTATACTTTTTTTAACATTATTATTATGGATTATTCATTTCTCACCTATGTCATATGGATCTCTTTAGTACTTAAAAGTACTATAAAGAGATCCATATGACATAGGTGAGAAATGAATAATCCTTTAAAGACTATGGATAATGACCTAATCCATTGACTTCATTTAGCCTGTAAATGGTCTACTTATCTAGCATTAAGACCAAGGTAGTTTGTTCAAGGCACTAGAAGTGGAATATCTTTATTGATAATAATCAAATGTTAACGTTTTACAAAGAATGCAGTATGCATTTATGATGTTTTAAGTAACTAAAGATCTGTACACGTTTAAACCGCAGTGTATAATACAAAGATTCCTTAAGTAATATTAAAGTAATTGTCTGCTTCTGCAATTGTATATCACATATATTGCATATTGTGCAAGACAACGATGAGGATGGATCCGGCTTATGTATAAAATGACCAGTTGCATACCACATATGCTGATGTATGGATAATTGTCGACAGATGTGTTTTTCCTTTACATTGTTCCTGAGATGCGTTTAACAATTTCTGGGACAGCTTTGACAGCACATCAACATGTTTTGTAACGATTGTATTGTATTCCAACTGTAAAGCTTGTTTTTGTCAATAAAGAAAGCACTAATCGTGTTTTACGTCAAGATACGTCTTTTAACAAAGTTGTTATTAATGTGTAGCCGACAAGTGCAAAATGCGACTCGACAAACAGACTGTCTCAGACAATTATCCAACCGTATGTTTTGAGTAAGATAAAATGTGAGTGGCTTTTCAACATTGCTGATTTGTTTTATTGAGGGTAATATATATTTCAAACTTACATAGCTCACAAAGTATATTATACGTTTTGGAAATGTCTAGAAAACAACTGATATCGTTGTGATAAAATTTTGAGCTCGGGAGGGCGGTGGGGTCTTTGAGGCCCGCGCCAAATTTCCTGTCGTATAACACATGGACAGCTGGTGCTAGAACCAATATACTTCGTGACTTTTACAAAAAAAATAATTGGCAACAATATCATATTATTGAGTTGTCATATCATATTTTGCCATCACAATGGGTTTATGACATTCTTAATTTGTATAATTGTTGAACAATAAACCTTTTCAGCTAAATTGCACAATCATGCTCTCCAACACTACCATAATATATAATTTATGTGATTTTTATCAATACACGTTTATCATTTATGGTAATGATGATATTATCTAAAATCCAACATCCAAAATCCATCTTGTTTCCCTAAAATTCAGAAAAGATTTCTATTAAAAAATTGATTTTTTAGTCTGCTTTTATATTCAGGCTTTATCTCGAAAAAATGCATTTTATAGACAAAGGCAGCATACTAATGTACCGGTGAATGACGGTGAATATTTTACATATACATGGCTTTAAATAATAATGTTACATTGACGTCGGTGCTGTTGCCATGGGCAACATAATACTAAGCATAACTTAACATTCTAGCTTCAGTAAAAATCAGCAAAGCACGATTTAGTCGAGGCTTAATTGTAAGACTCTAATACAGGACAGATATATTGACCTCACATTTAATCGGCACAACTGTTGTGCGTCATAACTTTGTAGCCCAGAAGGTACCAACTGAAGATATTACAGCTTTCTTCAAAGGTATTTTTTGCTTCCAACTTCAGGTAAGACTTGTTTTTTTTTACATACATGGTCGAAGAGGAGAGGTTGACATAGCAGAAAGCCAGGTACACTTGAGTCAAAGGTTTACTTGTTTAAACAGATGTAGAGGGACGACATATGGATGTAAATACACTTTTCTTCCTTCTGCTACATCGTAAGCAGGTAGAATTTTTTGTAGAATTTCCTGCAATGAGCCATGGCTAAACTTAATTTGCTTGAATTTGTTGAAAGTGGTAGTATATCTTTGCCGCCGTCCTTCGGGGGCAAAGCAACTGAAACAAAATTCACCGGACGGGTTTATGGGCCTGGGCGAGTAGGTACCACTCCCAGCACGGTAGATATACCCAGTAATGATATGGTCACAAGGCTGCCAAACCTTTGATTTAATGGTAGAAACTAGAGTAACACCAAGCTTAGATATTAGATATTGGAGGCTATATATATATATATATATATACGCAAAGTGTTTCTCCACATAATGTTTCTCCACATAGTTTATACAATATTTAGGAAAAAGTCAGTACATCTGTGCAATGAAAAGGCCATCTGATTGTGTTTTTATGTTCATCTCTAAACCTGAAAATGTAAAAATATTTTCCCAACATGACACGTCAGCAAAAGAGGCACTAGGGAGTAAACAACCTGCTAAACGTTAATATTCAAACAACCCTCATCAGACAATTAACCAACCATATAAGACATAAAGTGCATGATAGATTTTTAACCTTCTTTATTAATTCTTTTGCTTTGTCCATTTAACATATTACTGGGCTTTAACCAAACATATCTTGTGAGAATATTATACTTTTTAGACGTGATAAAATTGATAAAATTAACGTGATGAAAATCTAGAGCTTAGCGCTACTGTTCCCACGTGCCACCTGTCTGTACCATGTCAAGTAATAAATATTAAACATTTCCCAAATGTTAATATGCAGATAACCAGGTATAGAAAGGGCAAGGACTTGCTTAGCGAACCACCTACAGATATTATATATATTCATAGTAATATTTTCATACGATTCTTCAGGGGAGGGGCTCGAACAAGATGAAAACGACTGCTTGGTTGATCTGTTTGTTATATTATATACATGATACATTATATCATATACATTGATTTTTTCGGGGAATCAATAAAGATAACAGGTAAAGAAAAATGGTCTAGTGTCCCGCAATAGCCGAAAAGGCTAACATAGTGACCACAACTTCAATTTACTTGGATGGTTTATGATTCAAACAGTTTTGAATTCAATTCAAACTGTTTTTATTGTGCACATATTGCAGCACGACATGGGAAGAAAGCTAAGCCACCTGCTGATTTTTCTTCTCGTCATCCTGAAGGATCCCAACATGCCAGGAGGAAGTGGCATCTGTGAACCATCATCATACGGCATGTGTCAAAACCTGGGCCTCACCAGTATCCCTCAGAACCTACCATCATCGATAAGTGTATTATTTTTACAACATAATCAGATCAATAGTATTCAGTCCAGTTTGTTTTCAAAACTAACAACCCTACATGTTTTGAACTTGTGCAAGAACAACATAACCAACATTCAGGCTGATGCATTCAAATATGCAACAAAGCTACAGACTTTGCTTCTGAACTCAAACAATATTGAAACCATTCAGGTTGGTGCATTTTCAAATTTATGCCAGCTTTCCAGATTGGAACTTTACAAAAACAAGATATCCAACATTCAAGTTGGCACATTCTCGAATCTACCCAATCTTAAACAATTAGACCTGCAATACAATCAAATATCCAGCATTCAGATTGACACATTTTCAAATCTACCGAAGCTTTCTTCCTTGATGCTTAATTTCAACCAACTATCCAACATTCCAGTTGGCACACTATCAAATCTAACTGAGCTCTCTCAGTTGGGCCTTTTCTACAACCAGATATCCAGCATACACACTGGAACATTCTCAAATCTACCAAAGCTTAAATGTTTGTACTTGAACTCCAACAATATAACCTACATTCAGGTTGGCTCATTCACAAATCTACCTTGCCTCGAAGTCTTAACCCTGAGTTCAAATAAGCTAAGTCACATCCTGCTTGGAACGTTTTTGAATATCAATCTATCCAGGCTTCGGAACTTTGAACTGAACTCAAATCCCTGGCAATGTGACTGTAAGATGGCTCCCTTACGGCAAAACCTGAACGAAAGTCGTGCAGTTCTAACACAGATAACATGTGCCCAGCCTGCGAAACTTTCAGAAAGAAAACTAATAGATGTCAGTCCCAGGGATCTGATCTGTAATGACCCAACCAAATCAACAACACCTGGTGATGCCCAAAACGTTTTTAGCAACTGTTACAATGGTACCATCAACTCTCATTATCACTGGTACTTCAAACGCAATGTTGACTCAACAGTTGACACTGAAGTTAACGGGTTAACAACTTCAACTCTTGCTGTCTCTGGCACGTCTGATCCAGGTCTCTCCCAAGTGCCTGTTGTCATTTTATCTCTTGCTGGTTTAGTGATATCTCTCGTTTTTGCGGTCAGTTTCACAATCTGGTGCAATTTCAAAATGAGGAATTTTTCTCCAGCTTCTACACCTAACCCACCTGTGCACAACACAAGCAACACAGCTGTTGTAGTAACTAGAGGTAACCGGTTTGAAGATATAAACCAACATGGTCAGACAGGGCAGGAGCAGTCTCAGTCCAACACTGAACCAAAAACAATCACCACAACTGCTGAGGTAATGAATCACCATTATGAAGATATAGACCAACATGATCAGACTAGGCAGGGTCAGTCTCAGGCCAACACTGAACCCAAAGCAACCACTACAGCTATAGTAACTAATAACCAATATGAAAATATGAACCAGCATAATCAGTCAGCCGCAAATGTTGTAGTAACTAGTGGTACTGATAGCCAGTACGAAAATGTAAATCAATGTATTCAGACTGGAAAGGATCAGTTTCAGGCCATCACCGAATCATACACAAAAGCGTTAGCTGTTGTAGTAACTACTGGTCATGATAACCAGTATGAAAATGTTAACCAGCATAATCAGACTAGGCAGGGTCAGCCTGAAACCATGTCTGAATCCAACACAAACACCACAGCAGATATGGTAGTTAATGGCAATGGTCAGAGAGGGTATCAGGAATTCTTGTACAGTGGAAGCCCATTATATAACACCGAAACGACTGCCTCGACCGCACTCACTGATCCATTGACCACTAAAGGTCAATTGTATAACACAAGGCCAAATGCCTCATGCTCAAAGCTGTATCATCACGTTAAGCGCCCGTATCAGGAGGAGCTGATTAAATCCAACACAAACTATACCACTGCTGTAATGACCAGTGAGGGACACGATCAGACAAGGCAGAGTCAGTCTCAGGCCATCGCTGAATCCAGTTTATACACAGCTACTGTAGTGACCTGCTGTGTCAATGCTAAGGCAAAGCAGGATCAGTTTCAGGCCATCACTGAATCTTTGAATGTCAGAAATCCATCGCGTAATGAATTGCTAGCTGCCCTACAGCCAAACCCTATGTATATAAGAACACCTCCGAAGGAGCAACCATCTACAACAATGGGTAGTGGCAATGATTAGACAAGGCAATCCTCGAACATTTGAAATCAAATACGACAGGGTTAGCTGTCTAACAGTCTTGTCTTTAAAAAGAAATAGTCTCACCACCAGAAATCTCCAGAAGTGAAGGTTTAGCTTGAAAGTCTCTTGTACCGCCCATACAGAAAAATTGTCTTCAATATTAACTTGCCATTTCAGGTTGTTTTCTGCAATTCTTTTAAAATTGATTTTTTTAAATGTTTAATGAGGTAGTCAAATATTGTATAATTGCATCTTTGGATTCAGCCAAAGGCAGCATTCTGAATTTACACAAATATGTTGCCTTTTTATCTTGCACAGACCAGGCCAGACCTGGTTCTCGACCATTGGATTATACTAGCAAATGCCATGCCAAATGCTAACAGACTGTAAATTTTTTTTCAGTTCTATTATATCAGGTAGAAATTATCATACTGAATTCAATGTCATTACTCCCAATGTCATACTTTTTTAGTACTGAAGAGATTCATATAGCATTTATGCAAAATAAATAATATCATAAACACCTAAAACATGTACATGTACGTATCATTTTTCATGGACATCAGTTTGTATATGGTTTATATGCCTAGCATTGAGACCACGAGAACACTGTAATAGTAGAATATGTTTCATTAGCATGCTGCAGTTGTTCAACATCGTGTTTATTATGTATTTAATGTTGGGTGTTTACTTCTCTTTTCATTTGTGCTATACTGAGGTGTGGTACCTGTGCCAAATTATGCCTGCTCTGTTACCCCCCATACACATGTATGGAGAATCTATTAGTAGTATTTAACAATTGTATAAGTATTATGATACCTCGCTGTTGGTAAGCATTATGTACTAAAGTAATTTGATATCTATATTGTGCCTTCATAACGCGTCCAAACAAGTGTTTAATACAAAGGTTTCTTATGAAATATAAATATCATATATATGATACATAATATATAACTACATTTCTGCAATTTATATGCATCACATTGTGGCGTACTAGTACTGTGCAAGATGTATGTGCTGGACTGAGTCTAATTAAAAATCGCCAGCACATTTTGTATTCAAGCATGAAGCTGGATCCAAATAGGATTATCAGTTTGTTATTTTGTTTGTTTGTTTGTTTGTTTGTTTGTTTGTTTGTTTGCTTGCTTGCTTGTTTTACTTGGCACGTGAAGTTTTATATGACAACTGTGAATCTTGGTTCTAGTCAATAAATAAACACTGATCGTGTTTAACAGAGCGTTACTTTCACTTTCTTCTGTTACCCAATTTGTTACTAGTGGTTAGAAGACAAATTTAAAACAAAATGCGAATTACAAGAACGTCAATAGACTTTGATTCTTAGGCTATGATTTGGAGGAACTCGATGCCTTTTCTTGTTAATGATGATGTAGAAAGGTTAACATGGCACGTCAGCAAAAGACACCAGATCAGGGAGTAAACAGGCAAATAACTACACAAGTCATTCAGTTTCATGTTTAAAACGTTTATTGGTATAAAAAAAGAAAGAAGTCATAACTATACTGATTTATTCACAGGCATAGAACAGTAACGATCGGGAGTACCAGGTCTACTTCTAGTTGTAGGTTAACTCATAGTGCATGGATGGGGGGATGAGGACGGTGTCAATGACCTGGATGACACCGTTAGTTCCAGAGACCTGGGCTTCGATCTTGGCATCGTTCACCATATCTCCTCCTGCGGAAAAATAATTAGAAACAATGCAGAAGTTTCTAAACTATTGCAGTAATTGTTTGAATCATACATTTAGAAATACAGACATTTTTCTTAAGTTATTTTCATGATTATAGATTTAGATAAGTAAAAAAGGATGCACATGCGTATAAAATTCAAAAAAGGTTTTGGAAGAAGAATTAGCATGAGGTTTAATTTGATTGAGTTAAGACAATACCAACAAGCATTTGGTTATTACATTTTTTGTGTCGTAGAATGTCGCAGAGCACTGAATTCTAAAAACGATGCCAATGTATTGTTAGGATCAAATTATCATTGAAGTTCATCTGTGTCGATGGATCGATTTTAACGACCACTGCCGTCCTCATCATGATAATCAATGGCCAATCGCTTCGGAACGTAAACTCGCGAGAGTTACGGTTATAGACAAGTGACCTTATTCACACTAGACGGACACGTGGTCAAACGTGTTAGGGAGTTTATATCGTTCACCGTCTATTGTTAGGATGGTCATTTTTTCCACGAAATTCAACTCACCAGCCTTGGACATGATCGTGACGTCCATCCCCTGAACAGTCTTCAGCATGTCCCCGTTGCGCAGCCCGGCCTGGTAGTACGCGCCTGGGAGGACGTGGTACGTCAGGACGTTTGTCAGCGCCGTCACGTTCTTCAGCAGACCGTCCAGAACTCCTGCCGGCAGCTTGGCAAAGGCCGCGTTGGTGGGAGCAAACACGGTGAAAGGGCCTTCACCTGTAAAGAAAACGTTTCAGAGTGTAAAAAAAAACAGTTCCAACAGGTCATTCTATTATTTGTTGAAATGGGCCAGATGATGGATCCAAGATGGCTGACCCTTGACGTCACAAATCAACATGGTGGAGGCCATCTATTCAAGGGTACAACAAAATGAAAAACAATTGCTAAAAAAACTGTGAAAATCATATATGGATTGTGTAAATACAGAGGAAAATGGCAATGCAAAGGAAAGAAAAGAAACAGGGAAATATGACAGAGTAATATGACATTTAAAGTGGAGGAGCATTGAATTCATGCCTAACGATGCTTACCTTAACAACTAGATTCCAATCTTCGTTGACAGTCTAAAAGCTTCTAAACTGGATTAGAAAATTATTTAAGGGATACAAAGATCTAACCTGACAGAGTTGCGACCAGACCCGCCTTGGAGACGGCCGTGACCAGGGTAGAGAAATCTTTGTCACCAACAGCTATGTCCACGACTGTTCCCATTGGCACGGGGAACATGACCTGGCCGATGACGTGCACGACGCCATTGCTGGCTGTGTGGTCTGGGCTTATCACAGGAGCGCCCTCTGCCGTTATGACCTAGAATTGCAGAGCGTCTTAAGTTAGTCTTTGTACCATTTTACTGTCGTTATGTTACTATCGATATTTCTAGCTTTGAGGCTTGTTAATTGTAAGCTACGTCGCTGCGAGTTGTAGACATCAGCAATGACAAAAGATTTGAACTTCATGATCATGATATCGAATCGGTGATGGTCATTTCAAAATGTCAATCATGACTTAAAGTCCAGTTACAAGTGTGTGTCCTAATTTCTTTTATAATTGCTTCAACTGTCATGGCACATTTCCAGTTAAAAATGGCCCAAAAATGACTCCTAGGCAGAAATTAAAATATCTGCATTTGCATTTTTGTTTAGAATACATCTAACTACATTTGTGCCAAATGTAATGCTTTTAGACATTTTTTAGCTTTTCTTGACTTGACTATAAACTGAAAACATATAACTCACAGTTGGCTCGCTTGTATCGTAGATGTTGATCCTAATCTTGGGTCCTGCCAGAGACGGGACCAGAAGGTTGTTTTTCAGGTCTGTGGACAGGGCCGTGCCGGGAGCTACGTGGAACTCCAACACCTAAAACAAACAAAAAGAAGACAAACATCAACATTTAGCATCAAGAATACAGTACAAAGTAGGAAGCAATATACCGTTCTCGAAGCCAGGCCCCCTTATAGCAACGCCCTAGCAACTCGAACACCTGCAGGAAAGTTAGACAGACAAAATGGCTGCCGTGGTCACGTGGCCAAATCCTGTTGGCTTATTGGTTGAAACTTTATTGACAGTCAAGAACTATCTATTAGCTAAAAAAACCTAACTATGTATTACTTCCTGGAGGGCTGTCTTGTATCTTTGCTTGTGGTTGGTTCTATCACAGTCCGATTGACATCACTGACGGACGACGGACCTTTTCAAAGAATAGACAACGTACACCGAGATGCAATTAGAGGATCTTAAGGATCTAAGATCTTAAGGATTTTACTGATAAGCCGACGCGTCGTGCGTAAGGAAGTCTGTTTGTACATGTAGCAGCCTCCAGGGGAAAATTGACCCAAATAAACAGAATACACGACGTAGATACAGGGGTTACTTCAGATCATTTCTTCTCTTACACGGCTGGGATGTCACCTTTGCCGTAAGCCTAATCTCCGAGTAGATTTCTTAGGAGGCAAGACACTCTCAAGTTGGCCAGGCCGTACCCAGTCGGCCATTAAAGGATATTGCCTGCCCAACTAGTTATTGTCTTGCCTCCGAAGAAATATGGTAAGAGATAAGGCCTAGCGCTTACGACAAAGGTGACATCTCAATCGTGTAAAAGAAGAAATGATCTGAAGTAACCCCTGTTTGTACGTTATGTATTCTGTTTATTTGGGTCAATTTTCCCCTGGAGGCCGTTACAAGGCTCATCAACAACATCCTTTTGTAGTTACGTCTAGGTGTATGTTGTCTATACCTTTTAAAGAGCCACACAGCCACTGAAAAACTGTGCCCCACATTTCATGTGGAAGACGAATTTTGTGACTTGTCTTACAGTATGGGGATCGACAGAAGCGTAGTCTCTAATCATATCTTTTGGTAGCTACAAGACAGTATGGAATTTTCGAGATAGGTAATCCAGTATCCGTTTGACCAACGTAAAAAAAGTAACAGTGCATAAAAGGAAAACCCGATAAAAACGCATAAAAACACGTCGAAAATGTCTACATGCCAAAGTCTAAAAATCTGCCTAAAATACAGATTATTACCAAGGTACCTTCAACACTTATGGGGCACGAATCACTTTCGCCGTACCTGTTTTCAAATTTGAGACTTAATCATCCATATATGTATATAATGTAACTTAAAACTTGTTATTACGAGTACTAACATTTGTAGTTCTAAAGGTGAGATTGGTTATTCTTGAAGTATTGTTTATTAGTTGTTACCATACCCCGTACAATTGAAGGGCAATAAAGTTCATTCAGTCCTTCATTAAATAAATATTTCCAAACTACCTGACAATTGCGTTCTGATCAAACATACGAGGAGGCAATAAGTTTTCCTTCGTGAAGAGAAATAAATGACTGGAAAAAATTAAAGAAGCGATTTCTCTCCTTTAACGATGCGCCTTTTCCCATCAAAGGAGATGAGATGAAATTACTGACGACAGGCCGGCCGCCTACGCAGTGTTTGACAGGTGGAATAAAAAGGTCCCTGAGGGAGAATTAGATCATATTTACGAGAGCTTCCCTCTGGAAAGGGTAACTCATTAGGCGTTAATTATAGCCTCGAGAAGTCGCTGCTGTAAAAAAAAAAGTCTTAAATAGCCATCTGAAAATGGCCATGTAAAACACATGCTCAGGCGACAGTTTAGCTTGCTGAAGAGAACTTCAACTTTCATTAAATTGTTTTTTTTTTAATCGAGCTATCAATGGTTATGTTGTATACCGTACAAGCTACTTGGAAAATGTGAACACGTGCACAGCAGGGCAAAGGGCAGCATTAACTAGGTCAGATGGCGTGTTTGGTAGGATCCGTTTAGTGACGGAGACAGTCATAGAAACGGAAAGATGACACACGAATTATGTCTGTCCGTTTATGATTATGATACTCGTAGCGTGCGTACGTAGCATAGTATAGCTGGATACAAAATGTTGACACGTGCCCAGCACCTATGGCAAAGGTCACTATTTCAAAAATAGGTCAGTTGACAGGAAACACGTTTATATCAGTCACGAGGAACCTTTCTGAGATCACGAGTGTTCTGTATGTGTGCCTCACACAACACGATGTAACTTATAATCGGAAGGTCAACAAGTTTGTTTGTGCCTTTCTTGGGAAAAGGGGCGTGGCATAGGAGTACACTCTTACCGCCGCGTGCAAATGATGTGTTAAGCTAAAGACTGTTGAACTATTGAATATACATGTAATATACATGTCAGGGCAGACACTCCAAATTAATTGGTAGAATCGCCAATTCTACCGGCGGAGATCCAGAATAGAGTCTGTTAATGTTCAGATACTCGCTGAAACTTTTCAAGTTTTCATGTCACTTTACACAGATGGGTTGACTTGACATTTACGATGTGTAAATGGGAGAGGCTGCGCAGGTGGCTACAGGTGCAGAAGTAAACCCACAAACAAACACACCGTAGACAAAACGTAAAAAGAGAAACTGGAATATTATTAACTCATAAGCCAGTGTTGTGTAATTGTAATAATAATAGATGAGTCCTATTTTACTCTACCTCTGTCAGTAGTGTGACGTTAGCTTCCAGAGTCTTCACGAGTTCTTTTGGCAGGGCAGCGAAGGCGGCGTCAGAGGGCGCAAATACCGTGAACGGACCTGGAAATGAACGGCATAGGATAGGGTTATGAAAATGGCAAAGCGAAATGTAACGTTTGAAATTTCTACATGGCATAAAAATGGATTCAATATGCATCTATAGTAACGCTGTCTACTGCTAAGTATTCAAATACAATACCTTTATAATTATGCATTTATTTGTAGTACAAAGTTATAACAAAGAATAAAGGAGAGAAAATATAGTTTACTATACCTTTTCCTTCCAGAGCGGACACTAGACCGGCCTTCTGTACCAGCGCTATGAGTGTGTTTTCCGTCCCGAGGTCTTGTAGCACGTTTACTACAGTTTTAGCTCTAGCAATGCTGGTAGCGTGTACACTAGCCGCAAAGGCCAAGCAAAACACAGCAGCTACAAACTTCATCTTCAAACTCTTACAACTCACTACAAAGCAACAGAATCTTACAAATCTTGCGAATAAGTCGAAACACATTGTGAAGGAGCCTTTATTATATACCCTTTGTTGTGTGTTAAGTAATCAACGGCAGGGGATTTGATTGGTCGAAAGATCATGTGCGTCATCATGTGATCAACCGAGTTATGAAACTTACGATCACGTGCTTGCTCACATGATTAACCTAGTTACGAAACTTGAGACAATATTAGGTAACTGTTAGGCCGTGTTTAAGTGAAGTCACCCAAGGCGCTTTACATGCGGTTTACCCCTAAGCCGGTTTCAAGTGGCTCCCTCTGAACGCTCCGAAATCACATTGAAAATCGCCTCGATCCCAAGCCACTTCTTGAGGTGGTTTCGAATCGGTTTTCCCGCTTCGCGATTTGCGTCTGAACGCAATGTGATTTCAATGTAACTTCGCCTGGTCATGGATTACGGGGTGATATTTCTTTATTTATATGCAATACCAACTTTTACGTGGCAGCAACTTAAAGAGCAGTAATGGTCAAATAATGTGTCCGTTCTAGGACGAGCTTCACCGCCTCTGGCGGGACCACGTCGGCATTGGCCGAGATACGCTGGGAGGGGGGCAACAGCAAGCAGGTCGTTGACCTCTGACATTAATAACACGCCACCTTGCGTGTTATCATCAAACAGCAATAAATGTAGCTCAAGCGAATTGTGATCGGACACGGTTTCACAGGAGTGTGTGACACGTGGACCAGATGTGAGGAATGTGAGTCACCCGAATCGCGGTTTGGGTGACTTCACTTAAACACGGCCTTAGATAACTGTTTACTGGTGCTTTAATGAGACATGTGACTTGATGCTCACGTGCCTGTGAGAGTTTGTAATTTAGGTGTTTTTTTTTTTAACTATAGACTTTTGACATTTTGCCCTTGTCGTCAAATTGTCAGCTAGGATTTTTGAGAAAGGGATTTACGACAACAGTTTTTCGTCACAAGACAGACAAATTTCATACGATACATTCACAACTGCCCCAGTTGCAGTCGTATCCTCAATAATTTTCTGTCGTAAATCTATCTGCAAGCCCTAACCGACCCCGACTGCCAATTGTGAAGTCTTTTCACCCATAAATAATATTGTATATCATTATAGATCTAGATTTTGTAGTCAGCAGAACATCTAACATATGATACACAGTAACTTTCGAAAACATGTATCTAAAAATACCACTGAATACCAGCACCCTTAGTGACCTTATTAGTATATTTAGTTTTCCATATCAACATTTCATATGAATTCGTATCTATTCAAACTGCCTATGTCATTATATGTATATCAAACGATCTTTAAAGTTGCAACAAGAACGATAATTCTTCAGGCTAACTGTTGATGTTTTAGTATATCATTTAATTCTTTGTAGATTTACCCTCGATAATTGCCATTGAAAATAATTATGCTATAAATAAATCGTCTCTATGCGTCTTTTCACTAATGGTAAGCATGGGAAGAATACAAATCTCATGATTATGTACATTCTTAAACAGTAGTATCTCAAGCCATATGTATATTTAAACTTTTAACGTACCCATTCTAAACCTGTTTTTGTTCGTGCATACATCTTAAGATTAAAAGGTTATTAGAAGTAGCCCGTACGGACGGTTGTGTATTTGCACGTATTGTTTACAAAACAGATTATCATGGGTTCGTTTGCAGTTCCCACCCCCAAATAGATTTAAGGGACTTATCATTAACCTAAATCCGTCAGAAGAATTAGTAGCCGTTTAGTGTTTGCTTGTATTGTGTACTCAACCACCCAAACACCGTATATTTGATCAGCACTACCTAAACAGTCTCCTCGGCGTATGTGTAATACACGTGTTTGGCTTCGCCCAACAGTTTACAAAGGTCATTTGATGACAAGCCCTCTGTTTTGCATTGCCCATTACGTTTTTGCATTGATGTTACGAGTCACATCCATACGTACGATACACCTGCGACTACGATTTTTTTTAAATCCGCAACGACCTTGTCGTATGTCGTATGTTTGAGAAGAATGATCGTCGTAGGCCGTCTTGCGACAGGGTTAAGACTTTAACTAGATACATACGACAGCCCCGGTCGTAGGCAAATCACAGAAAAAATATCAGCTACGAGGGTGGATCAAAAAGTTCTCGGCCTCACCTAGAAAACGTCGTGGCAGAAAAAAATTTCTCACACTATGTTTCAACATAGTCCCCTCTAACTGCAATGCACTTGGTCCAGTGATGTTCCGGGTTTGTTTTCCCCTTGTGGAAGAAGGTTGAATCTGGAGCCCCCAGATAGGGCTCACCCGCACTGATGACGTCGTCATTACCATAAAAACGTTGACCACGTAAGTGGAACTTCAGTTTAGGAAATAGGTAGAAGTCCGAGGGTGCTAGGTCAGGTGAATTGGAAGGGTGGGGTTAGACTTCAAAGCCAAATTCGTTTGCTGCTGTCACTGACCCCTGTGCTGTGTGGACAGGTGCATTGTCATCACGCCAGCTCGGTGCTTTCCTCTCCTTATCTCTTTGATCGTTGTCCTCAACTGTTGCTATTCTGTTAAATAGTACTCCCCATTGATGTTTTAACCTATTCACAGGTATTCAGTCATGATTACTCCCTTGCTGTCCCAGAAAACAGAGACAAAACCCCTGTCAACGGATGAAACTCGATAAAACTTCTTGGGGGCCGGGAAACATTCTTCATTCATTGTTTGTTCTGTTGTTTTGATTTGGGGTGAAAGTGGTGAAACCATGTCTCATCTTGGGTGAAAAATGTTTTGAGGTAATTGCATGGATTGGACTGAATTCGTTCCTTGAAATGTCCAGCTTGTTTAACTTCTGATGTTCAGAAAACATTCTAGGCACCCACCTTACAGACAGGTTGCTCATCCCCAGGATGTCTGACAAAACATTGTGAACAGAGCCACAACACAGGCTAAAGACTCTGCTACATGTTGGACAGTCTCACATCTGTCATTTACTACCATGTGATGGATGGCCTCAACTGGATTGTCCATGGTGCTGATTTGTGGCATCCTGACATATTTTCATCTTTGGTGCTCACCTTGCAGCACTTGTAGCTAGCAACCCACTTTTTTATAGTTGAATAAGAAGGAGAGTCATCACCAAGTGTCCTGACCATGTGTTCATGGATTTCCTTACGAGAAATCCCTTTTTATCGATATACATGATCACAGCACACGCTTCTGTTGCGGCCATTTTGTGATTTTGCCCTCACCCGCCCCATTTTCACGGGGCGTCACGTGCTAACTAATGAATATAGAAATTTGAATTTTTGTGTGCAGTGATGTAAGACATCATAGTATACAGTTATACTAAAGAATAGGAGTTTGCCCTTTATTTTCTAGGTGAGGCCGAGAACTTTTTGATCCACCCTCGTATCACCGACGGCGACAATAAATGCCAGCACCACCCCCCTTGCCATCACCTCACCGAAAAGAGCAACCCAATTTTAGAACACGGTACAAGAGCTATATAGTTAGTTCAGTGCCCCCATTGTCCCAAATAAACTTAAAAGTGTGCACTCAAAAATCTCGAATGTCTCTAATGATTTTTGTAATGATCTCGTACGTAGGCGTTTGGGCGTCTAACTCCTACGGTACTTTAATGACATTAATGGCCACTATTTTCGTCGTTCAGAGATTGATTCTCTGAGTTTTGGAAAAGGAGTTTCAGGCGTGCCAGAGTATACAGTGCAATTTTACGGAACACAGTGCAATTTTACGGAATACAGTGTAATTTTAGTAGTATACATGTACAGTGCAATTTTATTGAATACAGTACAATGGTATTAGTATACAGTGCAATTTTACGGAATACAGTGCAATTTTAATAGTAAACTTGCGCTGTATACTAATTCCATTACACTGTATTCCGTAAAATTGCACTGTATTCCGTAAAATTGCACTGTATACTCTGTCTCCCCTGAGTTTAGTAGCTATCAGCTATTAAGCGTTGTCTTATCTGTCACGTGGACATGTCTACGTGTAAACACACGTGCACTCTGGAAAGACGATCTTTGATCATCACTGACTAAAGCATCTGCTCGACGGCAGTGATGTACACGTGAATGAGTTTGAAAAAAAATTGTCATCTGCGTCAACACCCAATAAAGGACACGTTATGAAGACTTAATGTTACAAACTTGTTGGCGTCGAATGACTGTGTGTAATAGGCTAGCGGACAGGAGACCCAGCGGTCACGGGTTCGATTCCTGGCAAGCCGATAGTAGCGAGCGTAGTCCAGTGGGTAGAGACCCTGCCTCTGGACCAAGAGGTTGAGAATTCTAATTCCGGCTATTGTCGCTCACCCGACATGAACGCTACTGAAAAAGGGTCGCACTCCCTAGGACGGGACGTTAAGCCATCGTTCACTGTTCATTGTGCTTGCAAATTGTCGAAGAGAGCTAGGGGAATTTCCCCTGTACAAGGAACGTGCACGTGTACATGTACATGTACATACTGTACATAGGGTCTGTCTTCTTTGTCATGGGAGACTAACTCTACAGTGAGCTAAAACTGGGTCGAGATCAGTTTTTTCTTAGAAAAAGTGCTTCAAACGACTTTCCACACTCCACTCAAGTGTAAAATGGGTACCTGACTTTAGTTGCAAGGCTTTAGAAGTAGAGGGATGAGCACTGTCTTCCAAAACAGTGCCTTAGACAGAATGGACTAATAATTTATTCCCCCGATGCCCTGAAAAAGAACTATGGGCCTACCTTTAATGTGTTGAAAAATGTTGTTAAATTGCTAAGTCGTGTATATTTAGATTTCCTCTTTATCTACCAAATTTAATCTACGTGTCACTTGAAAAGCTGTAAGTTGCATGGATACTAAAATGATATTTTTATTTGTGCCGTAATGTTTTATGTTATATTTAGCCCTAGTGGTAAGAAAATTGAATGTAGTCTCTAACAGACAGTGTGGGATGCTGTAAATAGTACAGTATAAAAAGACCAATTCACACAGCAGCGGCCATAGAGTCACCATAGTCAACACAACAGACACATCCTCTGA